ACTGCGGGAGGAAGGAGGACTTTGAAACTTGAAAGGCAAGAGCACACTTTCAACCTCAAACGCGAGCAGGAAAGGGCTCTGAAATTTGTTCAGTGCTCCCCATCCACCATTAGCTTGTTTCTTCCTCTCGCCTCCAGGCATTTTAAGCGCTTTTTGAAAAGATGTTAAGAAATTCAATCACCATAGACAGTTCTTTTTTCGTTTTCTTTGTGTGTGAGGCATGCTTCACCTTGGTCCACTGAGGACCGGCCTGCTACTTTGTGTTGTTGGTGAATAGACCTGTGAATCGGTGGGGGAGAGGAGGACGGGATGGGGGAAACCATGGGAAAAAGGGGGGGGAAATGAAAGAGGAATGAAAAATGAGGGAGGGAAGAAAGAGAAAAAGCCAAGAGGGTCTGTTTGAGGCTGATGATGGTCAGGGTTGGAGAGGTGCTCCTGAAGTTTAGGCTTTTCAAAGTGTTTGCAGACACCTGTGTCCTCCACATCAGAGCAAGAGCACTCAGCGCCACCGCAATGGATGAGAACACTGACTAGAAAGCCTCCAGCGATCCAACACAATATACTATCAAACACCATTGGACCAAAAATGATATACAGTCAGTTCTAAAAGTATTGCCACCCTTGACAAAAAACTGTATAAAATAAATAATACAAATACTGAGCTATATTGTATGCAAAAAATTTTTTTTTGCTTTACATGAACTTTACAGAGTACCATGACATTTTAGCCCAAAATCTGGTTGCCTCTGCCAAGAGGCTGAATCTTGGCCGCAAGTGGATCTTCCAGCAAGACAATAACCTCAAGCACACATCAAAATCCACAAAGAAATTGTTAATTGACCACAAAATCAACATTTTGCAATGGCCGTCTCAGTCTCTGGGTTTGAAGCCTTTGAAAACGTGATTTGAATTGAAGAGGTCAGTCCATAGGCCCAGACAAATGTTATCAAGGATCTGAAAAGATTCTGTATGGAGGAATGGTCTAAGATCCCTCTCAATGTGTTCTCTGATCTCATAAAACATTTAAGAAAAAGGCTCAGTGCCGTTATCCTCGCAAAGTGAGGTATTAAAAACAGGGGTGCCAATCATTTTGACCCATATCTTTTTGAGAATAAGAACATATGACTCTTTCTCTGAGCAATTGTATTAGTATAAAATAATATAATTTGTATTATTTATTTTATACAGTCTATTGCTCATCTTTATCAAGGGTGGCAATAATTTTGGACCTGACTGTAAGAATCATTATCAGTAAACTGCACCTATGAAGCTCGGGAGGGTTCAAATAAAGTCAAATAAAATATAACCAAGTTTTCCAGCCGTTTAGGTTGGATGACATTAGAATGGGATATAAATGGGGATAGGAGTGAGCCTTGGGTGATTCCTCCTCTTTCAGCATCACCATTCAAGTGTTAGTTGTTGACCTTCTGCTGCCCAGTGTTTGTTAAACCATTGAATGTAGTATATGCTGAAATAATTAACCCATTCAAGGTGGAATTCACTGAAATAAAGAACCCATTTAAGGTGGTATGCACAGAAATAATGAACCCATTTAAGGTGGTATACACTATATAATATACGGCAGAATGATGAACCCCCCTGACTCAGTTCACCATGGCGAAGTAGAGGGAGGAGGGGAATGGAGTGACACTGGTTTGATTGAACTATTGTTTTTTTGTAATTGCGCCGGAGGGGATGGCTTTTATGGGCTCTTAACTAACTGTGCTATTTTGTTAGTTTTTTCGCATTGTTTGTAACTTATTTTGTACATAATGTTGCTGCTACTGTCTCTTATGACCAAAAAGAGCTTCTGGACATCAGAACAGCGATTACTCACCTTGAACTGGACAAATAATTTTTCTTTAATGAGTAGGACGAGAGGGATTTGCTCCAGACACCTGCCAGGGCCCTCATCCCCGTCATTCGCAGGAGAAAGAGACGGAGATATCGGGGAAGGAGATCGGGGTTAATCGAGGGGCTAATCTGCCTTGGCCATCGGTACTATTGGCCAACGTACAATCGCTGGATAATAAAGTGGACGAACTAAAAGCACGTATATCATCCTACCAACGGGACAAACTGTAATATCTTATGTTTCACCGAGTCGTGGCTGATTGACGACATGAATAACACTGTATCGGCAGGATAGAACAGCAGCCTCTGGTAAGACAAGACCCACTCCAATTTGCATACCGCCCCAACAGATCCACAAATGATGCAATCTCTATTGCACTCAACACTGCCCTTTCCCACCGGGACAAAAGGAACACCTACGTGAGAATGCTGTTCATTGACTACAGCTCAGCGTTCAACACCATAGTGCCCTCAAAGCTCATCACTAAGCTAAGGACCCTAGGACTAAACACCTCCCTCTGCAACTGGATCCTGGACTTCCTGACGGGCCGCCCCCAGGTGGTAAGGGTAGGTAACAACACATCCACCACGCCGATCCTCAACACGGGGGCCCCTCAGGGGTGCGTGCTCAGTCCCCTCCTGTACTCCCTGTTCACTCATGACTGCATGGCCAGGCATGACTCCAACACCATCGTTAAGTTTGCTGATGACACAACAGTGGTAGGCCTGATCACCGACAACGACGAGACAGCCTATAGGGAGGAGGTCAGAGACCTGGCCGTGTGGTGCCAGGACAACAACCTCTCCCTCAACGTGATCAAGACAAAGGAGATGATTTTGGACTACAGGAAAAAGAAGAGGACAGAGGAAGACAAAACCTATTCCCCCTTAGGAGACTGAAAAGATGTGGCATGGTTCCTCAGATCCTCAAAAGGTTCTACAGCTGCACCATCGAGAGCATCCTGACTGGTTGCATCACTGCCTGGTATGGCAACTGCTCGGCCTCAGAGGGTAGTGCATACAGCCCAGTACATTACCAGGCGGTGTCAGTTATGTCAAAGACTCCAGCCTCCCTAGTCATAGACTGTTCTCTCTGCTACCGCACGGCAAGTGGTTACCGGAGCGCCAAGTCTTCTAAACAGCTTCTACCCCCAAGCCATAAGACTCCTGAACATCTAATTAAACCCCCCCCCCCCCCCCCCCCCTTACGCTGCTGCTACTCTCTGTTTATTATCTATTTGCATAGTCACTTTAATAACTCTACCTACATGTACATATTACCTCAATTACCTCGACTAACCGGTGCCCCCTCACATTGACTCTGTGCCGGTACCCCCTGTATATAGCCTCGCTACTGTTATTTTACTATTGTTATTTTACTGCTGCTCTTTAATTATTTGTAACTTTTTTTTTCTTTCTTTATTTCTCGGGTATTCTTTCTTAAAACTGCATTGTTGTTTAAGGGCTTGTAAGCATTTCACTGTAAGGTCTACACCTGTTGTATTCAGCACATGTGACAAAGTAAATTTGATTGGATTGGATTAGCTGCTTGACCTCTCAGAGACATGAGTGAATAGGGCTGGAGTTCACTGAGAGAGAACTAGAGAGAGAGGGGGAGGGAGGGAGAGAATGAGAGACACACAACTGGGGAGAGGGGGAAGAAGCCAAAGAGAAAGATAGGAACACAGTGTAATAATATATTTGGGAATAATGACCACAGTATTTTGTCTCCAGAAAGAGTTCATAGAAACTGTTTAGCTGGGCTTGTGGGAGTTTGGCTTCACTTCCAAAAAACCAAAGATTATTGCTACAAGTACATTGTGTATGTCAAGTCTATGGAACTCATACATAAATAAACTAGACCAAGAACAAGAAACATATCCAGGTCTATGATAGTTACATGGTCTTATTCCCGGCCTCTGCAGTGTGTTTACTGGATGAGTATTCAGTACATAAAGGCCTACACTCCTCTCAGCAGCACAACCCTATCCTTTGCTCTATTGGCTCCCAGCACAGTTTACAGTCGCGACTTCCTTCCTCAAATCCAATGCGTGCGAGAACATGAACCCCGACTCTGAAATCCCTTTATGTTAATATTGCGCTTTGCAAGAGCAGACCCTATTAATCCAGCTTTAAGAGCATAAATGCCATTATTCCCTTAATAAGATCACAGGCTGTGCAGTATAGGATTAAATACTTATATCATAACTGACACTGTCATTTCCTGCGGATGACAGCGTGAGCCTCTGCTCTCTCGCTGGCTTGCCAGTTCCGCGTTAAGACTAGTGGAATTTGCTGCTCCGTTCGGGGCATGGCTGGGCCCGAACGCAGGTAATGGATGTGGGAGAGTGAGAGTAATAAAAGTCAGACCAGTGGATCTCTCTCTTTCTCATTCTCTCTTCTCTCTCGTTCTCTCTCCTTTCGTGCCACTCTCAAGCTACTGTAGCGGCCAACTCGGGGTGCTCAGTGTAGCACTCTTTAATCTAGCCCTTTCCTCTTAATTGGAGAGCTGCAGTTTTCTGCTGCCTGCAGTTCATCGGGGGGCCTTACAGCGCTAGGCTGGTAAGTGCTACAGAACCTTTGGCACCGGCACCGCGGCACTCAGCCAGGGCTCTCAGTGAGACATTAAAAGAGAGAGACGGGGAGAGAGAGAGAGACAGAGACAGGCAGTGGGTAGTGGGCACTGGACCGTGCTGATCATGAACAACCACAGTGAAATTAGAACCAACCAGGAACCAGGACTGGACCAGGGGAGATTTCCCAGCAGTGTCTAATTAAGTGAATCTGTTGCTCAGTCAGGATAAGGCCAAACTCGGTGGACTCTCTGGATCTGGTAGAGGAATAGGATGGATTTGAGGCATTGAGAAGGATTGATAGAATCGTATGTAACTGAATCAAACTGGCTCTGAATTGCACAAGGCTAGAGCCGCCAGTTTAAAACTTTCAATCGTACAAAGCATTACCTAAAAATATTCAACTCTAATAATTTATCATAATCATACTATACGTACAGATGATAGGAATTATCTCAGACCAGAATTTTCAAGTGTGTAGGTTTTACTCTCAAATGAAGACAGTGTCCAGAGTATCCTCACTTTAGGGACTACTCATAATAAGTCTGTACAGGTCAGGGGCCAGGCGACCCCATGAAGGCCAGGGTCAGTGTTTAGGTCAAAGGTCAAGTCTTTCCAAAGCAGATCAGCCCTTGAACTCTCTTCACTTTTATCCCACTAACTCAGCCCAGCACACCAGGGATAGCTTCTCAGGGGAACTCTCCTTTCCATCTCTCCTCTTAATTTCTCTCCTTCACCCCGAGAGAGAAAGAGAGTGAGAGATTACTCTGGAAGAGAGGGGGTTGAGGAGGTGGGAGAAGGGGGGGGAGTTGATACTACCCATGAGGCCGGTTAATGGGCAGTTTGGAATGCAGGCGAGAAGACCCCGGTTGCTTTCTCCATGGGAATCCATTTATTTTATAAAAAGAACATACAGAGCTGCCTTTAAGATCCGACTTGTGGGAATCGCTCCTCCTCTGACTGTGGCCACGATGCAGGGGGTTGGGTTCGTTTAGTTGGTGAGAGCACAAGAGATGAGTCCTATTGGATTCAGCTGGCTCCTATGGAGGCTAAACCCCGCGTGGATTTGCACAATGCGTACTTGTTTGGTTGCAGGTGTACAAAACAAATCTACTGCCCCTCCCCCTCACAGGAGTATGCTACGTGATCTTACTTGTTTCCCATGTATATGGGTGTCTTGTCTTGTGTGTGTGTGTGTGCGTGTGTGCAGACTCTGAGAGGTAAAGAAATTCCCATTGACGGCAGCAGCCGTAAATCACTGTTATGATTCTACTGATAGTGAAACCACTACCTTTCACAACCAAATGGCTTTCAGGTTGTGAATAATTAAGCAGACTTTCGACTCAGTATCTTACAGTATCTTTCAATGTACCAAGATCTATGCAGTATCGTCAGTAAGTATGGCCTCATATTTTTACCCAGATATATATATATAATCTCACCCGCTCTCTCCCCCCTGTCCCCTTAAAGAAGATGAGAGATTGGGCACGCAGTACCACCACCACCACCACCGCGAGAGGCGCAATGCCATCAGCACCCAGGCCTCCACACCTGGCACCCCTGGCAGCAAGCTGGGTGAGGAGCCGTCCACGTCCACAGAAGAGCACCCCCCACTGGTAAAGAAAGAGCTGCACAGCTCGCTGCCCCACCTGGCGGACCACGGCCTGCCCTACTGTGGAACGCTGTTTGCCATGGACCCCCGCAACGGATACCTGGACTCCCACTACGGTGAGTACAGACAACAGACCTCAGTTTAAAGAGGAGGGGTTGGATAGGTTGTTCTAATATGATTGTTAGAGAGTTTATGAAGCCAAAAGTAGAGTGGGTTCATGGCTAGTTTGTGTCGGTAGGGCTTTTGGTCATCAGACAACTTGAATTGCCTCAGTGATTTAGTAAATTGATGGATAATTACATAAAACTTAACATACAATATTTTTGGGGGGTAAGATAGGATATTTGTCCTTGTTTGTGTGTATTTGTGAACAATATACTATAATTTGAGTGAGGCGGCAGGCTTAAGGACTTGCCTGTAGGCCTGGGTTTTACACCCAGTAGATAAGGGAGTTTATCAAAATTGGGTTTGATTTCGAATTCTTTGTGGATCTCTGTAATCTGAGGGAAATCTGTGTCTCTAATATGGTCATACATTTGGCAGGAGGTTAGGAAGTGCAGCTCAGTTTCCACCTCATTTTGTGGGCAGTGTGCACATAGCCTGTCTTCTCTTGAGAGCCAGGTCTGCCTACGGCTGCCTTTCTCAATAGCAAGGCTATACTCATTGAGTCTTTACATAGTCAAAGCTTTCCTTAAGTTTGGGTCAGTCACAGTGGTCAGGTATTCTGCCACTGTGTACTCTCTGTTTAGAGCCAAATAGCATTCTAGTTTGCTCAGTTTTTTTGTTAATTCTTTCTGATGTGTCAAGTAATTCTCTTTTTGTTTTCTCATGATTTGGTTGGGTCTAATTGTGTTGTTGTTGTTGTTGTCCTGGGGCTCTGTGGGGTCTGTTTGTGTTTGTGAACAGAGCCCCAGGACCAGCTTACTTAGGGGACTCTTCTCCAAGTTCATCTCTTTGTAGGTGATGGCTTTGTTATGGAAGGTTTGGGAATCGCTTCCATTTAAGTGGTTATAGAATTTAACGGCTCTTTTCTGGATTTTGATAATTAGCGGGTATCGGCCTAATTCTGCATGCATTATTGTCTCTCTCTCCCTAATTCTCTCCCCCTCTCTCTCTCTCTCTCTGGGAAGTTTGTCTTGGGAGCTTTCAGCGTAGCTTCTTAATTCCCTCATTAGGGGCCTGTCCGAGCACAGTCCTCCACTTTCACTCATCAACACATACATCAAAGCCCCAACACTACGCTGTACTGCAGAGTCAAACCACTATCACTACCCATCGTCTCCCTTCTCTCTCACTGGGACTGAGAGACTGTGGGTAAGAGGAAGGGGTAGGAATAGAGGAGTGAGGTATAAAGAGAGAGAGAGAGAAGTGAGGGACATGAGGTTTGAGGGAGAGAGAGAGTATGATAGAAAAATAAAATATGAGAGAGCGAGTGAGAGGAGTGAGGGAGATGTGGTTAGAGAGAGAGTGAGAGAGAGAGAGAACAAAGGAATAAGAGAAAGATGCAGTTACAGAATTAGAGACAGCTGAGTGAAGCGGGGTGGGGGGGGGGGGGGGGGGGGGGACTGTAGGAGGTCAATTTCGTGACCTCCTCTGGACAAAGATTTGATGTGATGGCTTGTTTAGTTTCGCGAAATTGCCTGCGAATTGAGCCTGACAGAGTGGTTTTAATCCGCAGGCCGTAATGAAAAGGTCTCTCTCTCCCTGGTTTCGGCTTTGGTCCTTTACTGTAACTATATTTATTTAGTTAATTAGCCGGCATCTCCTTTGTGCACTGGTGCGTCCATCCACCACAGAGCTACAGTACTAATGTGAAAGGTTACTTAAAGTAATGCCCAGGGTCTGTTCTTTGGTGTAGCCGACAGGATCCTCGCAAGCAGAACATTACTGTCGATTACAGCCCGGTCTTAGCTCAGCATGACTGCCACTGTTGATTTTGTGTGTCTGTGTGTGTGAGAGTGTGTGTGTGAGCACTGGTGGTAGAGGGTTCCAGACCACTGAAGCCAAGGGGAACTAGGGGCCGTGGTTGGGGTGGTGGTTGGGGGTCACAGTAAGGGGTGGCAGTGCCTCGGGATAATGCTTAAAAGTCACAGAGAGTTCAGAAGCAGCAGGAAAAGTCAAAGGGCTCCATTCTTTCTGCAGAACAGGCAGAGTGGATGGAGAAAGTCATACTGCTATTGGGGCGCACCCCATGATTATATATATATGATTAAGTTCTATTGGAGTTCAATAGCTAAGTACACTTGGAGCACATTATGAAATGCGAGGGCAGTTGTTTTTCCTCTGAGGGTGGAGTGTGCCGTAAATGGATGTCGTTGGGACGTGCCCTGACCCTGACTCAGTTCAGAAAGAGTTACGACCAGAGGTGAGAGAAAAGAGCAGGCCGGTGGTTGTGTAAAATGGCTTCCTCTGGTACCAGGTGTGGGGAACACGAGGTGTCCCTGAAGGCGCCTGCCGGTCGGCCGGTCCCATTCTGTCTGATTGGCCCAGGCTCCAGGCCCCTAGGCCCCTCGGCACCTAAACCGCCAACGGACCCTTTGAACACGGAGCCCTATGGCTCCACCACTCCACCACCACTCCACCACCACTACCCCCAGAGCCTGGGAAGTGTGAAGAACATTGATCCCTGTGCTTGGTTGAACAACCACTTCCCCACCCTTCCTTCCAAGGTCAACTCCGCCAACACTCCCCTCTCCCTGGGGTCTCTGACTGACTGTCACCTCCCTAAATGTATCCCAGGTGTGTGTTGTGCATGTGAGGGTGATGGAGAGGGAGTCCTGAGTCTTTGTGCTGTGCTTGCAGAGTGCGGGGCGCTGCACAACCTGGCTACGGCCGACAGCCAGGTAAATGTGATTACTCTTCCCACTGGTGTGTTGTCAGTGCTTAATGCAGCTAAACACGTCGGCACCTGCAGCCTCAAGTGCACCTGGACTGCTGGGTTGTCATGGTTGTCGCTGTGGTGGCAATACGCAGTGTAGTGGGTGTCGAAAAGGGGGGAGAAGGGGAAGGGAGGAGGGGAAGTGCAGTTTGTGTTCTTTTTCGAGATCTCTGCTTCTCTTCGCAAATCTCTCCTTTTCAAGCAGCCCCTTCTGTGCACTCTCCCACTCCCCTAAGGACTCTGATTTTTGTGTTTACTCTCGCCTTTACACCCACTTGCCCACATAAAGGAGGAGGCATTAAGGAAAAATAGCCCCTATTACGTGCATTAGTTAAATCGCGGTGATGCATAGCGTCTAAGACTATTTTCTTGGGCAAACACTGGATAAGTGTCCATATCCCGCTTACCACAACACTAATACGTGGGGCTTTCGCCTGGATAAGGAGGAGGAAGGATTGGGGAGGAGGATTAATAAGAAAGAGAGAGAGACTTGGGTTTTTTAAGATTTGTGTATTGTGAGGATGTGTGTTTTGTGAGAACATGTGTATTGTGAGGACGTTAGCGCTGCGGTGGCACTATCTGTTTACATTGTGGGCTTATTAGCAGGTCAGTGGTCCTCAGCAACAGTGGAACACTTGCTGGAGTTCCCCGCTACTCTCTCCTCCAGGATCCCTCTTCTTCCTTCAAGTGTTTGTCTTTTTCTTAAACACTTGTTCGCCCTTCCTCCCAGGCCAGTCAAAACATGTCCCGTTACGGGATTCAATGGTCGGCTTTCTAATGTTTCTTTCCAATCCTAACAGTATTGAAACATCAGAAGATGTTTTGTCAAAGGAAAGTGACTGGGGAGGGTGGGAAAAGCACTAAGCTGTTGAAACAATCTTTAAGTATGTTGGTTGGTTCCTTAACGACCAAGGCTGTTTGGTGGTTGTGTGTGTCTGTGATGACACAGTAGTAGGTCATTATGTGGACCGAGACAGACTCTTATAGCTGAAGTATATATCAGCCTTATACAGTCTGATGGAATCAAGATCAGGATCCTCAGACCAAAGCCTTGGTCATGTCTCACCTCTGAGACCTCTTGGACCAGGGCTGCTAAACCATAGCAAGGTGGAAGAACAGTACAAATCGATGGCTGGTCTAGTGGAGGGTTTGGATACCATCAGGCTATATCCCTGAAACCCTGCTCTTTGTGTCCAAAGCTCTGGCAGAAGTGACCATTACCTGGGATTGTGAAGAAAGGGAAAGGAGAGCTCAGCCAGACCCGGGGCTTATGGAGTCGGAGGTGGGGGTGGGATGGTGATCTCAAGCTCCAGACGGGTTAAGTTAACCTCCAAAGCTGCTTTGTAGAGGAGATCTCAGGTCTACTGGTCCGTAGCACAGCGAGGACTGGGTCCACGTCAATCTGTCTGCCTCAATATCAAACTACAGCAGCTACTCAGTGAACTGAATGAGCTGGCTGTCACAAAACTCCAATGTGTTTTGCACCACAATGGAGCAGGCTCTGTACAGTTAATGACTGCATTACTGCGCTCCCTGATTCAGAGTCACAAATATAGGCCATACAGGAACTATAGGAAAGCTTTCCTGCCACAGAAAAAAGTCACGAAAATAACCCATACTGGAAAAGTCATTTATAACGAATTTTTTCTCTGAAAACCCGCTCAAAGAGGCCAACTTTCTGGGTTCCACATTGGTTTCCTTGTCACGAGTTTTGGCAAAACAGGTTCAAGCACTCCTCCCCACAGAAATTAAAATACAGAGGAGCGGGGGTGGAGGTGGGGAGGCGTTGGGAGACACGTGCCCATTTCAAGGACGATTGAGGGCTTGTCTTTGAGATTGTTTCAATATTGGCTTTTAGAGCGGGGGGTGGCCCAGAGAAACCCCCTAGTGAGTCTCGGGGGAGAGGAACCCGGGGGGAACCCGGGGGCACCCTACAGGCGATAGAAAGGAATCTCTTCCATCCACCTCCTTTCATCAAGAAAGAGAAACATGACCGGGCAGCTCTTGAATTAGCCCCGCAGTCCAGCGCACCAGGGATAATCGCTGTGATCCCCTTTTATACAGCTTATTACAGGAATCTCACAGTATAATGCCGATTTTAGGCCGTTTGATGATTGAAGGGATTGTGCAAAGTTTTAAGTGGTTAAAGAAAGACACTTTCGCTCTAAGTGAAGGTCAGGCTTTCTTGTAGTTACTCTTAGTACCACAGAGACCGAGAATGTGTGCAAAATGCATTTTTAACAATAATGTTGTTACAATAACAATAT